CCCCTGTATCCACAAGATTATAGATACCCTTGTATCCACAAGATTATGGATACCTCTGTATCCACAAGATTATTGATTCCCCTGTATCCACAAGATTATAGATACCCTTGTATCCACAAGATTATGGATACCCCTGTATCCACAAGATTATGGATACCCCTGTATCCACAAGATTATGGATACCCCTGTATCCACAAGATTATGGATACCCCTGTATCCACAAGATGACACAATGAGCTAATAAATTACAGAACTGAATCCAACACGACCAGAGTTAGAATGTTTGCCAGGTACTTTTTTGTTTTCCAATCATTTTTTTATGAAAAACAATTATCATGATGAAAATCGAAAAAAATTAAGTATTATGGTGACTTGACGGTGAAAGGTTCCCCCATCTTTCCCCCTTCAGTTTTTGGGGGTTAAAGAAAACTACAGATTATAGGACGAATCTTAATTCAGATTAATAATAATTGATTATTTATGCGTTTTTATTTTAAATTTTTATCGGATGTTTAAAACCCCATGGGAAACGTATCCTAGATATTTCTGCTTTGTTACCCACTGTCCAACAAGCATATCCGTACCAAGCTGATAAGCCAATGAAACCTCAATACTGGTTCTTAAATTTCATAAACTTGGATTAGTCTTGTGAATGAATTGTTTCTAGGGATAAATTGAACCAGGCAGTTGTCACTGAGAAATGGAATATTATTAAAGTGATCTGTACGCAACCATTTAATAAACATACGCAATACGGGATCAGGTAAACTTACGACAGTACGCAATACGCATTTTTCAAAAGCATAATCACACTTGTTGCTGGGTTATCAAAATTCTTCTGCAGTATGTCCCAATAGTTATGGGAATTGAGTGACGTTTTGAAAATTTTCTATGTAAATTAGAATGTTTCCTCTGTTGGAGTTTTGAGTTGAATTTTATATGATTGGATGACATACTGTATACTTAACGTAATAAGTCTCCTGTACCCACAGCCAATTTTAAATTTCCCCTTTTCATTGTTCATCTTTCAGAAATATTATACACATCATACACCCTTTAATCATTCACGTAATTAAGTGTAAGTGTTTTTAATAAGGTGTTACAATGATAATTCTAAACAATTTGACGATCTTAGAGTCGTCACTTAGTTTCCATGTTTATTTTTTTTGCTTTTCAACCTTAATAATTTTGTTTTTAGCTTTATCGCAGTAACAGGTGTTTCTGATGCGCCCGCGCCCCCGGACCATAAATCCAAAGAGATGAAACTCGGCGCATTTAAGATCAAACTTGACGATAAGGATGATTTAGCTGCTGGGACGTATTTTAATAAAAGACTTGTAAACTCAGGTATTTTTTACCTTTTAGCCGAAAATTCAATTTTTGTCCATAAAATGTGAAGGAAATGTTTTTCTCAAAAGAAAGGAAAAATGTGGGAAAATAATGATATAATTACAGTCAGCTTTAAATTGCAAGAAATGGGGCTGGATTTTCTGCATCATCAAGTTAGATTAGTTTTCATACTTTCTTAATAAATGCTTTGATACACATTTTTTTAATTGTTTATTTATAGTGAATTGAATATATTTAAGGCAACCGACTGAGTTTACTTGTTGGATTGTGATAATTAGTTAAGATTCATAGATGACATATATAAGATAATAGAAATATAGAAATTAAGGCGTTTTTTATGCAGATTTAATAATAACTAAATTTTAATCCAAACTAAAGTATTGACAAAGACTTTCTTGTTCTGATCTGATTAAGTGGATTCAAACTTTAAAGATCGTATATTTTATGGACTAGACAAAAACTTCATAGAAAGAAAAAAACGGAGAATTTTCACAAAAATACTTGTTGGACAGAAAAACAGCAGGAAACGATTAAACCCTGCTATGAATTGTTCTACTTTTGAATTGTCCTATTAATGTTTCTTACCCGAATGTCAGGGAAAACTTTGATGAAATAAAAAGGATAAATTTTTTTTAAATGTTTTCAAGGAGAGGAAAGTGGGAGTGTTGCTGCAGAATTGAGATCAGATAAAACTCTAGGTATTCATTTATTTTTCTTTATTTTTATATATATTCAACCCAAACTAAACTTAAATCGTAGCTTCGATGGTTTTGGAACAAGCTAAAAAAGAAGATCTGAGTAAGAAAGAAGAGAGGGAGAAGGTGAAGGAGAGAGGTGAGAAAAGAGTATGGAGAGAAGAAGAGAAGACAAGAAAACATGAAGTGAAGAAGAGAATAAAGGAAGATTTGCCGAGAAGAAATCTTCTTCCAGGAGAAGAATCTGATGATGAAGAAGATAAAAAGGAAAAGATGGAAAAGAAGGAAAAAGGGGAGAAAGCAAAGAAATTAGAACAAAGAGAGAGACTAAGAAAAGAGAAAGAAAGATCAAACGAGAAGCGCAATCGTGAAAAGAAGGATCAGGAAAGAGAAATGGAAAGAAAGAATGCCGTGACTCCATCTACGGCCAAAAAACGGAAGTTTGCCCCGTTTAACAAACTTCTTGATGGAGTCGTCTTCACTATCTCAGGATTTCAGAATCCTCTCAGGTCCTTTCAATCAATCAATTCAACAAACTAAGTATTTAACTTTGCCTTGTTAAGAAAATAACAAATACCTAAATTTTTTTACTAAAATATTTGATTGTTCGAAGAGGAGAGATTCGTGGGAAAGCGCTAAAAATGGGCGCCAAGTACAGGTTGGTTAGTTTTATTTGCTTTCAAGATTTTTATTTATTTTCTGATTTTATTGAAAGTGACTTACTTATAAGAAACAATGTGGAGATTATATCAACAAACACTTATCCAGTCAAAAAAAAACCGTTATCTTCCACATTTTTGATTAGACTAAGGTTTTAAATTACGCTTACAGTCCCTTTAAACCCTGGTTTTATGTACAATCTGTACAGGGGAGACTGGGATGGAACATGTACACATCTGGTTTGCGCATTTTCCAACACACCAAAGTACAATCAAGTCAAAGGGAAAGGAAAAATTGTGAAGAAGGTAGAATACGAGTTTTAATGAAAAATTTAAATTTGTATTTTTATCTCAAGATTTTGAATATTTGCTTTAATCCAAAAATTCCTGTTTTTTTAACCATTAAATACAGTTTAACCCAGAACTTTGGAGACACTGAAAGAATTTATAAAATGTCCTTTTCTAAACCTACTGATAATGGAATGCTGCAGACTTTGTTTTTGATGAAATAATTATATGTAGCTCTTTATAACTGTTCCCGCATATTTCATGGCTGTTTTTTTTTTATTGCTGGGAAACCATTTGAAAATGGTCAAGACGACATTTTATAAATTCTTTTGATGTTTCTGAAGTTCTGGGTTAAACTGTAGTAAAATAAGATCTTATCAAATTTAAATTTTTTAAGAAAATAGTTAGGTTTAGTTTATTCTTTTAATGTTAAAATATTACAGGATTGGATAGAGGATTGCTTCAGTAAAAGAATGAAATTAAATTCTAAATTCTACGCTTTAACTAGGTATTACAACTAATTAAATAGCTAAACAATATTAATTATAAGAAAATAATAAATGACGATATTAGTATTTGCTACCGAAATGGGCAAGTCCAGGTTTCCACATATTTAAAAAAAAAAAATTACTGTTAAGGATTGGTTGATTTTGCAATTAAGTATTTTATTTTTACTGTTTTAATCTTTGTCAGACTGGAGATCAGATCTTAAACATTTTTAATATTTTATAAAACTAGTTTTGTTTTAATCTCAACATTTGTTTTCAGAGATTCTGTTGATGAGAGTGATGAAGAGATATATGAAGGGAGAAGTGAACCTACAGGCAACCAAACAACAGCTCAATCTTCAGCTCAGCCCTCAAGTTCATCAACTACAGCAGATCAGAGACGGTAAGATAATTATTCAAATTCTCTTTTACAATCAAATCTTGCTTTGATTAACTTAGCGGAGTATTAATGATTAATAATTCATCCAAGCTTGGAACTTTTGTATTGTAAATATTGAGATCAATTCGTGATCTCCATCTTTTGTTAATCTGCAAATTAATTTTTTATCTTGATTCGATTTCCCGCATGGTAATTGTACCTAGTCAGATGTTTAAAAATGAGCTTTGATGAGGGGATAAAAAACTGAAATATGAGATTTAGAATTGACCCTCAAATTAAAAGTGCCTACAGTTGATAATGATATCGAGGTCAAGCAATTGGAAGTTTTTGCAAATGGTTTGATATTATCTGGCTTATCTTGGCAATCTTAGGTTTAGCCGGATATCTATCAATAAGTTTCGCCCTCGGATGAAGTTAAAATAAAAATTATTCTTTTAGTTTTAAAGAGTTTTCAAAATGTAAAGCTCTGAATATGTTTGTAGAAGGTTTGCTGAGGATGAGGATACAGATGATGAAATTGAGAGAATACAAAGAGAAAACATGGAGAGAGAAGATGATGATGAAGATGAGGACGATGATGGTGATTTGAATGATAATGATGATATTCCTGATAATCATGATTTAAAAAAAGAAGAAACCCCGAAAGAGAGAGAGTCAAAGGAGAAAAGGTAAAAGTAAAACTTAGAAAGGTGTAAAAAAATAAGAAGATTAACTTTTAAGAAATAAAAAAGCAAATTTTAATCTGATCAATTTGTTTGTGAAAGCCCCATTTACACTTTTTATGGGTTTTATAGATAAACTTATTTTGTTATCACATATTTTTTTTGTTAATTGATTTATTTTTGATTGCCATTTAAACTATTTATTAGCCAAATAATAAATTTAATTGCCAGATGATTATTTACATAGGCACCTAATCTATTTCATTGCCACATAATTTTTTTCATAATTCTTACTGCTACTTGATTTGAATTCATTGCCACATGATTTATTTTCTTAAAATCATCTTTGATATTATATGAGTCTTGAATCTTTTGTGTCACCACTGACAATGTATGTTATTGTAAAATGTGTTAAAAAAACTATTAAACCAATTTATGATCCTATAGTATTTTCCGGTATATTTTTAAATTACTTTTATTAAAAATTCTTTTCTTAGAAATAATCTTCTAAAGAAAAACAAATTGAAAGAAACATAAAAAGTAGAAGAACAAAAAATAACTTGAACAATAAATTTTCAGAAAGTTGATTGTTGAGAATAGGAAAGAGCAAAAGGTAAAATTTGTGAAATTTATTTACATCAAGAAGAATTTTAAGAATTTTAACTATTTTTAACTCTCATTTGCAAATTTAATTTTGATTTAATTTGATTTGATTTCTTCTGGACAAGCTAATGGTGGTGTGAGAATCGTTTTTTCTTTAATTATTAAATAACAATGACAAAAAATGTAACAAAAATGCTACAATAGGCTAATTAGTTGCTTAGGAACAGGTTGAGAAAATTAAAATTAACTTTATCATTGAAAAGTAAGTAATTTTATTCAATTATTAGTTTCTGTGATCTCTCATTATTCACAAAGATTTGCTGCAGATTTTCTGGAATTTTTACTGAAAATACGACATTTGAAGAGTTTTAAGAAATCTGCGAACAAATTCATAGAAAATAAGAAGTTCAACATAATGCTGAAAACGAAATAATTGATTCTAACATTGATTTATTGATAAATTTCTTTTGAGAAAAATGTTCCTAAACATCCAATTAGTTTACTACAGAATTGTTACAGTAAACAATTCTCAAAACGTATCTACCCATATAGACGATTTTGAACGTAGACTTTGTGCTCAAACTCAGTCATTATAGATTTTTGAAACCCTAGGTTGATTTATTTATCCACTTTCAGAATGTAAAACAAATATATCTCAATCTTTATGTGTTATAGAGGTTAAAATATTAACTTAAATCTGCGATAGCCTCTTTGATTGAAAATTCTCTATATTCTTTATACATATAGATTAAAGATCAGGTGGTTTTTTCATTTTTAGTTCCAAAGTTGAGAAAGAGGAGAATTCAGATGCGTACGATGCTGAGACTGACGCAGAAGATTCAGATGACGCTTATGACGCAGATACCGATATTGACGAGGATAATCTGAAAGGAACTGTTCTTATAATTGAGATCGGAAAAGTCAAAAACAACTTAGGCCATTTTTTTACTTATTGATCAATGATTACGCTAATAAAACAAATAACTTTTGCATGAAAGACAGAACGTTTAGATGAACAAAAAATATGAAGGAATATGTTAAGAACTTGGTTTGTTTAGAATTACGAAAGCTGGCGGATAGTTTACCTTTAGACACTATAAAGGATTTCTTTAAGGTAAATATTTTAAAAATACAGGATGTACCACAAAATATGAAGTATGATAAGCAAGCATTATTGTTTTAATCTTTATTTGTTTTAGGAAGATGTTTTTATGTTAAAAGGATTAAATGCCGAGGAGACAGCTTTGTTAGGAATATTGTTTAGAATCTTCAAATTAATTTAATTATTTAAAACTTAATTTCAAAATCAACACAGATTTAAAGGTTTTAAAGGGTTTTTTTGCGTAATTTCAAAGGATCCTCCAATTAGAGGTAATCAAAACAATTCTGTTTAAACCCTTTTTCTGGGTAAAAAAGGTATGATTTATCTCTGTTAATTGATTGTTTAACTGCGGTGAGAGAAAATAAATTAAAGAGATTTATTACATTTTCAAGACAACAAAACGACGGTGTTTTCCTCCCTTTCAATCTAATAAAGGGTTAAAGGGGACCATTGTGAATCGGTCACTAAAATTCCGCCGACAATTCTTCTAGATGGAGAAAATGAGTTAAATTCTCTTTATACTTAAAATTAATTAAACCGATTTCTCATTGGTCAGAAATTCTAACTGTACTTCACAAGTAAAGAAAACTTTCAACATTTTACATCAATAAAATATCAAATTTTTATTTTCTTAGAAGTTTTCTTGAATCAATAAACGATATTGTAGAACGGTACATAGTAGCACACGGAGGAAGCATTTCTATGTATAATAATACAAGGAATCTTAAAAATAAATTAAAACACAAGATTACTAATCAAATTAGTGTTAAAGTTGACTGCATTGTTTCAACTACACATTTTTAGAAAATATAACCAACACTATTAATGTGAAATCAAAAATAATTTGTTAAATGATATAAAGCTAAGCAATTAAATCTTTAAGACAATTATTTTTGCTTGAGATTTGTTTCCATCATAACATTTAAATTCATTATTTAAATTTAAAATCATGTGCTTTCACACAAATAATCAAATCAACTAAAACTCTTTTGAAAAGTAATTCATAAAAAATTTATTTGAATTTTTTCTCAGTGTTGGAGTCATAATCTCAAAAGCAGTTACTGCAGCAGATATCAGGGATATTCTGAAAAAAAAAACATTTAAAAAAGAAAATCGAAAAATTCTAAAATAACAAAGTTTTTGTGAAGTTCTTGCAAAACATATTTCCTTACCAAAATGCTTCTCTGGTAAAATGTTTTCTTTAAAAAATAAAAAACGTTTCCTGGTATGATTTAATAAGAATGCTGAAAGATCAATTTAATTTATAATTTTTATCCCGTCTATAAAATAAAACAAGACATTCGTAAATATATATGTTGTGTATTTTAAATTTTTTGTGGACACTCATGGGTGGCCAGTGGGTGTTATAGGCTAGAAAAAATCGAATTTTTTTTCAAATTTTTTTTTTCAAAATTCGATTTTATTTTTTTCAATTTTTTTCCAAAGGCAGCAACGGGCCTTTCAGCTAGTAATCTATAATTTCAAATTTTTTTTTTCAAAATTCGATTTTATTTTTTTCAATTTTTTTCCAAAGGCAACAACGGGCCTTTCAGCTAGTAATCTATAATTTCAAATTTTGGACTGACTCTAAAGTTCAATATTCTTAAATTTAAATGTTGAAATTTCAAAACTAAAGACAATACAAAATTTAAACATTACAATTTTAAAGTCCCGACTAAAAACAACTTAAAGAATCCTGTATTGGCAATTTTTTTTACCTTTAATTGACCCCTCTAAAGTTTGAATAACAATACTTTTATGCCAAAACTGTATTTCTTTTTCCCAATGTAGCGATTAGAGAATATCAAGTGCTCCGCGCAAACATTATTTTCAAAGGGGGGGGATAATCATTTGACTAAATGTATACCCCTAAAATAAAACAAAAACTCTGAATATGGTGTATAGAGAGGGGGAGAGAGTGAACCCAGCTGTTGTATTCCTAAACCCTGATTGGGTGTTCAAGTGCGCAGATAAGCAGAGAAGAGTTTCAACCAACAAGTTTAATCTCAAGAAATGAGAAGTCTGGAAAAATGAAGTGTGATATTTGTTTGAAATAATATTATTAATTGAATAATAAAATTCTATAATTTAGTATATTTAATTAATCAATGAAGACAAAGTGTAAGATTATTAAATTAAGAAGTTAAGAATTACCCAATTCATTTACAAACGTGTTATATTTCGATGCATAAAACAATATGCTAAGTTATTTTCTTGTTGGTTTTTGTTTTTATTAACTAAGTTCGTAAAATTTAATAAAATCCGCAACCAGCATAAACCCTGCAACTCTAGTAATTCTTGGAGGGTTACAATGAATTTTGTGACTAGCGAACATACAGGGTTACCCACAAAAGATGAGACGATTGAACGGAATTTATTTAGTCCGTTTTCTTACATTTAGGGTTCCTTGTAGGCTTATTTCTGTGCTTTATCATGTAGTAAACTATCAAAATACTCAATTTAATGCAGAAACCTAAAGTGGCCCTGTAAGTATGCACAAAAAAGTTACATACATACTTCTATACAAAACATACCAAGGAAGTATACGTAAAAAAGTAATTTATGAAACAAAAATGTGAAAAAAGTTGATTTTAAGCTATTTTCATTGCTATTAATCAAATATAACATTGTATAAATTGTATAAGAATTGAAGGTCGATTTTAAAATTGAAAATGAAACATTGCATTGGTTTCAATATTTAATTTGAGGTGGGCTTCTGTAATTGATTAACTCTATAACAACCAATATATAAAACTCTGAGAACTTCCCATTATGTATTGTTTTTTTAACTTATATATATTTATATATATCCTTATTTATTTATTTATTTATTTATTCTAATGAACATGAAATAAATCTGATTATATATGTTTAGTGAATTAAATCTTTTACTAAGACCGATTTTTATGATCAGCGAGAAGTATTTGAACCACATAGACTTAGTTAAACTGACAAGGACACACAATAGATAGATAGATAGATAGATAGATATATATTTGACTAAATATTTAATTAAAAGCAATTTCAATTGCACAATTTTTACATTTTAATTTAGCCAGGGCCATTGTTGGTTGTTTTGAATGAGAGGCCCTTCTGCAGCGATACATACATGTTTAATTAAAATAAACCCAAATAAAACAAAAACAATTTAGAACTAAAGTAGATTGAGGAAAAGGTTTTGAAGAATAGAGAGGAAAAGAAGAAGAAAGGATCGTGGGGGGGGGGACAATCCAGCACACAAAGTTTAAAATGTTTATGTTTTATTTTGTTTATATAGAAGTGGTTTAACTAACATTCACATTTTTCTATGGATTCTAATTCATATTTTGCTTTATCTGTGTAACAGTTGGGTTAAAAAAGGTATTTGCAGTTATATCTTCAAAAAATAAAAGAACAAAAAAATCCATGAAAATTCGCCAAAAATCTGAAAAAGAGTCCAAGATCGGATTTACTTTTTTTGATTTTTTAGACTGTTTTGAGCCATGAGTTTGCCACATCTTGCGGATATCCTCTATCAGCAGCAATATTAAACTTGTAAACAAGTCCTGGAGTAAAGAAGATAATGTCTCCTCCAACCCTGATAAGTGCGTCAACAGAAGCTACATCTACTCCAATCCAGTTTCCAGCGATAGGTGCAGGGTATCCAGGAGAATCTATATCTTCATATTTATACATCCAGTACTGATTCCCCTTAAATATATAAAGTCTAATGTCAATATTTGCAGCAGCATCTATGTTGTCAACAAGTCCATGGAATCTGTCCGAAATGTTGATAGGGTATCCAGCCATCATTGTATAAGTCTGTGAATAAGCATACAGCTGGGAACCCTTGAAGAAGTAGGTTACACCATCCTTGGTATATGATGCATCTATCCCAGAAGAAGGTAGACCAATCCATGTAGTAGAAA